AAAAGATGTACGGACGGATGCTGTGCAATTTGGAATTAATCGGACACCGGTCAAAGTCAGCGACTCAAAAAAGATTCCTTCAGTGCTGCTGGAATCTGCTGGAAGAAACTTTATGCAGACTACCCGCAACCTGAATGCGAGGCTGACGAGTTGCTAGTAAAAGCCCGGTTTGAAGACGACTTTGGTGGTACATTTCTAGGTCAACCCAAAAGCCCCTAGACACAAGCTATTGAAGCTACCCACCTGTTGAGACAGTACCTGAAAGGAAGCAAGTCAGACTTCAATGTGCTTTTGTGGACTCCTGGATGCTGAGCTCCTGGGTTTCGTGATCAACTTTTTGGAGTGTACCTGAAGCTGTCTGGTCAAGCGGGCAGCGAGACATTTGCAATTCTGCACAACCCCACCCCTGCAACGGTAATGCTTTAAGTGCGCTGTTTCTTTGCTTCGAGTTGCAAGCTTGTAGGCTCCATGGTTTCGGATCTGGGCTGTTATATAGCCTGCGCTAGTTTTAATGCTCGTTTCCATATCTGCGATCGCATGTGTTTGGTATCGGCCGGGCAGTGGGCACCTGACCCCTTTGACAAATTCCTCTGACTTCTTGCTTTGGGAGGCTCCGGGCTCTTGGAATTTATGATGCATAGTCCAAAATGAAGCAGTAATATCATGGAGCTGCGACAATACTTAAAATTCATCACGCAATGTGTTTTGCTGCTCTTTCCTTATTTCAGATTGCCTGTCCCTTTGACCGCTCTAGTTTGTCAGACGTGCTCCCAATACAGTTTGGAGGCAAGGGTTTACCATTTTACTATATCATGCCATGTCATACTATATTAGAATATGCTATATCATAACATGCTAAAATGAAATTTACTATATCCTGGTATGCTTTACTAGATTAAATCATATGATATTGCATTTTGTTGTACCTGATTTCGTGAAGGCTTCACTTCCGACAGACGAAGCTCTTTCATTTCGCTTTCAACTGCACTGTCGAAGCAAAGAGCTGCTAATCCGCGCAGGCGTGCAGCGGTACAGCAAGATGGGCAACCTGTGCTACAATTGGGGTGCCCGTCTCAGCTGGTAGGCCTGAGCTCTCGGCGTTCGACGCATGTCAGGCCCGGTTGAGCTACAGGGTGCAGGGTCCCGCGCGCAAAATGCTTTTCACTTCTGTGCTGTGTGGTGGTGGTGGTGGTGGTGGTGGTGGTGGTGGTGGTGGTGGTGGTGGTGGTGGTGGCAAAATCAAGAAGAGTTTGGTGGGAAATGCCCGGCTTTTTTCTGGCGGAACCCCTGAACCTTTACCCCCCGACCCTGAATCCTGAATCGGATTTGGTTTCGGAGGTGTGGCAGTGTAGAGGTTTCGGTTTCAAGGTGCCGGGGGCTCAGGGTTTCCGGCTTCGAGTTTGGGCCTTGGCATAGGGAATGGCTCCGGAGACGGCGGTGTTTTGAGCCCTAGGTTTCGGGACCTTCAAAACGGTGCATACTGGAGGTTTATAGGGTTTACTTAAAGGATCATGGGACTTAGTAACTAGGGTTACAAACAAGGTAGCTATACTTACAACTTCAATTAGGGGACATATAAGCCCACTTACTAAGTCCCCTGATCCTCCAAGTAGGGGTGATATCGAAGACCGGTTTGCTTCGGAAGGGAGGCTCTCTCTCCCGATAAACCGAGCAACACGGATGAACCCGCAGGAAGACTGGGCTTTGGAGTACCATACTTTAATACATTTTTCTTAATGGAACCATTATGAAATCAAGGTTTATACTTTTTTCTCCCTGGTTACTTAAAAGCCCAGAAGAAGTCCAAAGTTACTGCATAGCATCAGTGTCTGTGTGCATGTGGGTGGTCGTCAAAATTATGGTACTTTTTGGGGGTCCTTTCTTTTGGTACTGCACCCAATAGTTAGGCTACCCAAGAAGGGGCGATAATTTTGACCACTACCCATGCACAGCCCTAAACCCTAAACCCTCACCCTAAACCCTAAGCCGTAAGTGCCTGAAGCAATCGACATAGTGCACAGAACCACGCCATGGGTCTTACGAATCTGTTTCAACTCTGACATGGTAGCGTAACATCCACAAAGCCTGAACATGTAAGACACGATCAGGAAGTTCAACCGAAACCCTGTGGAAACTCGTGTAAGCATCGCCTACCAACACAGACTGTAACTTTGCATGGCTTCCTGACCTGACTGGATGTCAGAAGCATGAACATGTTTAGTGGCTCAAAAAGGTCTTCCTTTGGGTTTAGGCCCCACTCAAGCCATGTCGTTTCGATTCTTTCTACTGGCGTGGGTGGCGTCCCTTCATCGGTGCAGCGCACAGGGCGGCTTCTCGGGTGTGTGGCACTTGGTCGATGCCCTCTCCGTCGTGTGCCCAGCCGGCAAAGGATCGGCAACGGTGACGATTGAGAAGCCCACAACTTCCGAGTATGAGCCACACATTTTCACCATCTTCCGTACCGCCAAGAGCTCAGTAAGCCTCAGCTTCATTGCCAGGGATGCCACTGGCAAGGTGGTCACCGACCAGTCCAATGGAATCACATTGCATGCCGGTACATACCGGCGGCTGTCTGGCTTGACCGGCTCAGAAGACACGAACGCCTCCGCCAGAGAGCTCTGGGGCATGCGGCGCCGCATGTCCTCCGGCTCCCGTCGTCGCACCGGAAGCAGTGGTGGAGGTGGTGGTATCAACCTGAACCCCACCACCTGGTTCTCTCCCCGGCGCCGGATCTCAACACCTACCTACCCCGCTGCATCTACCGGATTCTTAGGGCTACTCAGAAATATGTTTTCATCTTTGGTTCCTTTAATCCCTAAAAAACAGCTAAAATTGTAATTTTTGCTAGGGGTCTCAGTTCAGTGTAGGATTTGGGAGCCCCCGCCGTCGCATTGCGGCAGTGCCTGCGGCCGCCGCCGGTGCCGGTGCCGCAGGCGCCGCAGGCGCCTATGGCAGCCCACGCCGCCGGGGCACCATGGCTCCAGCGCCAGGAGGCCAGAGGGGCCGGATACGGATTTAGAAGCCCTAAACCCCTAAACCCTAAACCCTATAAACCCTAAACTTTCCTAAACCCTAAACCCCTAAACCGTCAATCCCTATAAACCCTAAACCAGGGGCCGGATACGGATTTAGCGATCGGCGTCGAAGCTCTGTCAGCGCTGCGAGCGGCTATGGGTACAGCAGCGTCCGCAGGCGCCGTACGATCATCGCTGGGGGTAGCTCCAGCGGCTACAGCAGCTTGAATGCATTCGGACTTCTTCCGTCCTGCTAGGCATCTCGGGTAGCGTGGGTTCAGGGTTTAGTGTTTGGCATGGGTTTGGGGCCCCCTGTATACAAGAATTTACAGCCTGTCACACTCAGTAAAAACGAGGTCCTCAACTTATAATCAGTGGCAAATCACGCTCGTACTTCCAAGTTTCTATATTGGCAGCGCAGAAATGCGCCATGGTGCAAAAGGTCAGGATGACTCATGATGTCCCAGAGTCCCCTAAACCCTGAACCCTCAACCCTAAACCGGCCCCTTCACGGAGAGTTCAACCCTAAACCTTGTAAACCCTAAACACAAAACGTTAAACCTTTAAAACTCTAAACCTTAAGCCCCTAACCCCTAAACCCTGAACCCCTAAACCCCTAAACCCCTAAACCCCTAAACCCTAAACCCTAAACCCCTAACCCCTGAACCCTATAAACCCTAAACCCCTAAACCCTAACCCCTGAACCCTAAACCCCTAAAACCCTAAACCCCTAAGCCCTATAAACCCTGACCCCTATAAACCCTAAACCCTAAGCCCTCAACCCCTAAACCCCTAACCCCTAAACCCTAAGCCCGTATCAGGCAATCCCTACAGCAGCTCTTACATGGGCTCCTACGGCTATCCGAGCACGGGCTACGCCATGTCAGCTTTTGGAGGACCTTTTGGGCTTTCAAAGCCTCCTTAAAGGATCATGGGACTTAGTAACTTTAAAGGGCTCCTTGGCTCCTTAAAGGGTTCTATAAGGGATCTACGCGGGTTTAGGGTGCTGAAAGGATCATGGGACTTAGTAACTAGGGTTATGAATACGGTAACTATACTTATAATTCACTTACAACCCGAATTATATAGGGGACTTATAACCTTACTTACTAAGTCCCATGATCCTTCAAGTAGTATTTACTAGGTAGTGCTTTGGGACATTTCATTTTTTGGCTCTTGTTGGGCTTAAGAGGATCTTGCCTACTAACTTTTGATCAAAGGCTTGAAAAGCACCTCCTAGTACATGGTTTAGAAAGTTTAGGGTTTGGGTTTGAGGGTTTAGGATTGGGATCCACATCTTAGGCTTGAGATTTTAGAGGATCCTTCACTCCAAGCTTGCCTCCAAAGTCCGACTGCCGGGACACCCACAGTCCTCAAGCGTACACTTCAAGTCGGTTTAGGACTTTTGGGGTTTAGGGTCTACGGCTTTAGGGCTCTGGGGTTTAGGGTCTACGGCTTTAGGGCTCTGGGGTTTCGGGTTTACGGCTTTAACCCTAAACCCCAAAGCCTAAACCCTAAACCCTAATTTAGTGGGGCTTTTAGGCTTGAATCCTCCGAAGGTTACAGGGTGACAGCTTCGGAGCAACAGCCCTGAGCCCCGCTACTTAAAGGATCATCTACTTTTGTTTAGGGTTTAGGGTTGAGTATAGTAGCCAAGTAGCTAGCGTGATAATATATGTATATATGTACAAGCTAACTATATACTGATGATACTTGCAAATAGCATCTTACAATCCCAATTCAGGCACTTATGACCTTGCTTGCCAAATATCTTGATCCTCCAATCAGATTCAGAAGAGAAAAAGCTTAGATAATTGGAACTGTGTAGTGTGGTTTTCATACACAATAGAGGTCAGAGTAAGTTGGTATTTGTAATCCCCCACTAGAGAACCCTTATATACCTAACTTTGCGACAATATGTCACTGTTTCAAGAGCCTCTGCGTTGCAGTTTGGGGGTTAGGGCTGCTGGTTTTCTTTATTTACCAGTACGGTGAGCTGAGCCACGATGCCCCTAAACTCGAAAACCCTAAAGCCCTCGCGACCTATGAACCGCTTAAGCCAGCGATTTCCTCCGACACCCCGCAGCTCTTTGTGTTTATGATGTTTAGGGTTTAGGGTAGTCGAGTCGAGAGGCCATACGCCACTGAGCACCTCTTACGGATACTCTGGAAGCCTGTCAGCAACAGACGTGCGCTCTTTCGGGCACTCAAGTTTAGGGTTTATATAGGTCTCAGAAGAACCATATGTTCAATCTGTCTATACCCATAGGGCCCCGCAGTAGTTCCTTTTTGGTAATACCTTATAGAATTCTAATTATGAGCCCCCAAAATAGAACTCTATGGGTAATGATTTTTGATGTATGGAGACTCGGGAGTCTTGTCAGAACTTCTGCTCATGGCAGTTAGGCCGAACTTAGGCACTGCCCCCATACAGCAATAGTCTATAATCGGGCTAGTAGTTGGGTTCTAATATATCTACATGATGAATATTCTTCAACTAAGTGGGGGCCGCACCCAAGGCTGAACGGTTTAGGGTTTGGGCTTTTGGAGACTGCTTGGGTGATTCAGCACAGAAGATGTTTCCTGTAGGCGGCGGGGATCGGGCGGCACAAGCGGGCCTTACGCAATTGCTAGAGCCCGAAACATCCAGGGAAGCGCGACGGACAAAACCGAAAGCTTAGTCAGGGCTTTGGCTGTGGCGCTTTGGGTTTTGGGGTTCAGACTTTAAGATTTAGGGTTCAGTGTTCATGGTTTTGCGGCATTAGGGTCCAACCTTCAGAAATCGCTAAAGGAGCGCCCTCCGGAACGCAAGAGTTTTTGCAATCCTGTACAGTAGAAGACGGCCCCAAGGCCATGTTACCACGATTGGGGCCAGGTGCTAACACCTGTAAAGCACATATTCCGTACCAGACTCCTAAGCCTACTTGGAGGATCAGGGGACTTAGTAAGTATGGTTATAAGTCCCCTAGTTGGGGTTACACGTATTTATAAGTATATAGCTGCCTTATTTATAACCCTAGTTACTAAGTCCCATGATCCTTTAAGTAAGCCTAAACCCCGCAACTCGCCGACCCAGGCATGAACGCGTACCAGGGTAACTCGGGCTATACCATCGCAATGGCCGGTGGAGCGGGATTGCTTGCCGGATATGTCGCTTGGGATTGATTAGTTAGATCTGAGGTCGGAATACTGAGTAATAGCACTTACTTAACTACAACCGAACTGGAGCCTACTTCCAATGATCAAAGCCCCTATGTTAGGTTTTGGGGCATCTGGTTTATAAGTGTATACACACAAGCACACACATGTGAATATATGGTCGCCCTGGTCGCCCCCCCTGTCTGTCTGTCTGTCTCTGTCTGTCTGTCTGTCTGTCTCTGTCTGTCTCTGTCTGTCTGTTTCTGTCTGTCTGTTTCTGTCTGTCTGTCTCTGTCTGTCTGTTTCTGTCTGTCTGTTTCTGTCTGTCTGTCTCTGTCTGTCTGTTTCTGTCTGTCTGTTTCTGTCTGTCAGTGTCTGTCTGTCAGTGTCTGTCTGTCTGTCTCTGTCTGTCTGTCTGTCTGTCTCTGTCTGTCTGTAGGTAGGTAGGTGTGTGCGTATTTGCATACATACATACCTACATACAAACGTACACACACACACACACACACACACCTACCTACCTTTGTCATAGCCGTGTGTGCGTATTTGCATACATACATACCTACATACAAACGTACACACACCTACCGACCTTTGTCATAGCTGATAATTGTATGTTAACTGAGTTGCTCGTGAATTTATCTTTCAAACATATCTACGCACATGCTCTTCGTGCAACGAGTGCTTTTGAGTTTCGTTTGGTCATCCGTCTGCCGCCAGACCCCACGCCTGCCGGCAGTAGCTTTTACGCCTAGGACCTAGGACGAGTAGTGGTGCGCCGACGACGATGGCGTCGCAAACTTAGGAAGCGAGGTCTTGAGCATGTATAGCAGCGTTTCACGCGGCTTCACCAGGAAGTGTCGAATTTCAATCGGACTTGAGTGCCCTGCCTCACCTTTTAGAAGCAGGGCTGCTGCAGCATCCAGAGTTCTAAGGTCGGCAGTCAGCTGATGCATCCGTACTACCACCACCATGGATATTCCTGGGGCGGATACAATCGCCAGGACCGTGCACAAGTGTATGGCTCGATTCAGAATATCAAAACCCCGAAACGTAATAGCGATGTCGCCCGAAGGTCTGGGACGATATACTGCCCCAGAGGCTCCATATATACTACCATTAATAGAATTCGGTCATTAAAGACCATCCTTGTTGTGGTCTCAGGGACCTAATTCCATAATGGTAGTATATATGGAGCCTCTAGGTACAGTGCCAAAGCCCCACACTTTGAATAAACCGCCAACCCTTTACTTTAACAAGCGATTAAACCAAGGATCCCAATATTCGTGAACCCAGATGCTCCAACCAAACACCCTCAGCCTGGGTAGATGGTGTGACATCCGAAAACCTGCAACATCCTATTCATTTCATACTGCGACCAGTATTGCTACTGCAGCGGCGGCAGCTTGTAACGATGAAGAAACCTCACTGTGGCTGTACATAAACCCTACAGCCCTTAACTCTGAACCCGAAGCCTTGAACGCCCTAAAGCCGCGTATGTTCGGGGACCTTCGACCACAACCGGCCTCGCCTTAATTAGAACTCCTGCACTATGACCCTACACCTAAAACCTATAGCATGTGAACCCTGAAACCCGACAGCCTGAAACTCAAGAAACCCTACGCCCCAAACCCAAAAGCCTTGTTTTCTTGGTGTACCAAGTAGATGTGATAGTGACTAGTATTAATGTGGCTGATATTCGTGGTTCAATTGGCATTGATAAATAATCAAATTTGCAACGAGTTTCGGCAGCAGAGCTGTATCCTTTTCTACTTCCTCAGAATGGGGTCCCTTCAACCCTCTAAAGACCCAAACCCCTCAACCCTTAACCCCAAATCCTTCAACACTAAACCCCAACAACAAACCCTGAATCGACAGGATATCTATGGAATGCCATGTACATCTGGGACCTGGTCGGGCTCCTGCAGCTCTTGTGTGAGTCTTTATGGCGGCTCCTCAGCGCAAACATACTTGGGTTTTTCAGGGCAGATGGGGGGAGGGTACCGAAAAGATCCCAAGGGTTCCCTTACCTGCCTCTGCCCCAGCTGATTATCCATCCACATAATTACTCATCTATCCGTCTGTCTTCCATCCACGCCTCGCTCCCCCAAGCAAAAGCCAAATCTCAAAGATTAAACCCTAAACCCTAGAAGACAAAGATCAATCAGTTTCAGGTTCCTCCTGCAATGTGATGATGACGCCAAAGATCGACGCCGCGAGGGACGACCTCATGAACACGGGCTTCGCACCTTCGCAGGCAGAGGGTTGCATGGTGGGGTTTGGGGGTTCTGGGCTTCGGGTTCAGGGCTCACGGGTTAGGGTCAAACGTTAAACCCTAAGCCCCTAAACTTACCCCTTAGCCCCTGAACCCTAACCCCTTCAGACAATTCGGGACCCGAACGTAATCACCACTCTTTAGGGCCCCTTAATACAAGAATCCCCTCAGACTGGGCTTTTCGATACTCAGAAGGGTGGTTGTCAATATTAGGGTCCCTTTTTGGATCCTTATTATAATACGGCACCTAATATTTAGGGTACCGGGTACCCAAAAAGGGACCATACTTTTGACAACCACCCAGAAGCCTAGCACCCCTCAGGTGGCCTGGCCCATCACCGTCACAATCACGCACCTCTCCGGGCCGGACTTCAGCCCCTCCCTGATCTGCCCCCCGCAGAATGGAACGGGAGACTGGCAGCCTCCGGCGATGAGCCTTCGTGATTGTTATTCCCAGAGAGCCCAATACCCCTTAATTAAGGAATAGACCTTAAATTATCTGGGGATTCCTATTATGATTTAGGCAATATTCCTTAATTAAGGGGTATTGGGTTCTCTGGGTTGTTGCTGTCGACATTTTGAGTGCTTGTTTTGTTTCGACTGCTTAAATTACAGCTATAGCCATTATCGTAGGAAGTCGATTTTATCAGTATGTTAGTATGATAGTAGCGTGCACGCACTGTTAGCTGATTTTCCGGGTTCTTGGTTTTCACGTCTCTGGCGTCCAGGTTTACGAACCCTACTCCCTAAACCATATGGGAGTTTCCGAAAATTAGGTGTAGCTTATTTTGGGGGTCCTTAAAATAGGGATCCTACTATTTAGGGTACTATATAAGGGTCCCCTATTTGGCCTTCGGGCCTCCTTTGGGGTTCCAGGTTTAGGCTTTAGGGTTTGAGGCTTGGGGTCTATTCTTTACGATTTGAGGCTTAGGGTTTACCTTAACCCCCAATAACCTACCTTGTTAGGGACTTGTATAAGGAAATCATATTAGGGGGCCCTAAAGAGGTAGGTTCCTTAGGGTCCAGGTAGGGTTTCAGGGTTTAAGGCTTAGGGTCCCGGTGTGGTGCGTGAAGCCTCATCTAGGTGGTTGTCAATATTAGGGTCGCTTTTTGGGTCCTTATTATAATACGGCAGCTAGGGTACCCAAAAAGGGACCGTAATTTCGGCAACCACCCATGTAAGCATGAACAACAAATTCTTAGCCTGCAACATGCAAGCATTGCAAGCCTGCGCCAAACGGCGACTGTGCTCTATGCACTGCGCTTGTAGCATGGAGCGCCACTCACCTAAAACATGAGGTGCCCTATTCAGATCCGTATTATACGGAGCCCTGCAGAATAAAGTGGGGAAGTTGGGCAACTCCATGTGGAGATTTCCGAAAATAGGGGATCCTAATATAGTACCCGAAATAGTAGGATCCTTATTCTAAGGACCCCAAAGTAAGCTACCCCTATTTTCGGAAACTCCCATATCCTAAACCCTAAAGATCCCTTTAAAGAACCCTTAAAGGAACCCTTATAGATCCCTTTAAAGGTACCCCTAATTTTCGGAAACTCCCATGTCACCAAGGAAGCAGCTGTTCTTGACGCTGACGGCCTTGGGCGAGAGAACAGGTGCGGACGCATATGTTGGTGGCCATTCGGAGGCAGGAAAGGGATCTATAAGGGTCCCTTTAAAGGGATCCATAGGGTTTAGGGTTTAGGGTTTGTTCCAGATTTAGGCTTTAAAGGGAACTCCAGAAAGTTGGAATATGGTTTTAGGGTAGGATACCTTATAATCTACCATAAACTGGGCTGTGGAGTACCATACTTTAATACTTTTTTTCTTAAAGGAACCCTTATGAAATTAAAGTTTATACTTTTTTCTCCCTGGTTACTTAAAAGCCCAGTAAAGGGTTTAGGATAGTCATATTCCAACTTTCTGGCTTTTACTTTAGGGCAAAGGGGGTCAGAGTCTTGCTCAGGGTGATAAGGTTTCACGGGGGGGGGGGAGGGGTTGAATAGTTTGCAGGTTTGGGGTTGAGAGGTTTGTCTTTGAGAGCTCACAGACTTCCACCTTTAAGGTTGCAGAGTTTTCGTGCTTCAAGATATAACATGTCGCAGTCCATCGCAGTAGGGCTTCGTGGACCGGGCGGGCGGCAAGAGCAGTGGTAAGTAGCAATACCTTGGTGCTTCATGCGTTTGCGCTTTATCGCTTCCGGGTTTATTCGCCAGGGTTGATTCAGGATTCTCCGAGTGGTATTTGTCATAGGTGTCTGAATGTTTCGTAACAGCTTTCGTTAGTAGCTACTACACCCTACACCCTAAACCCTAAACCCTAAACCCTAAACCCTAAACCCGGAGTCAAGAATCCTGACCGCTCAGGAGCCTCCACTTGTGCCGCGACCTGCAGCCTCGAGGTAGTTTGTCCCTTTGTCGTTTAATCAGACCTCTAGGTCTTGCAAGCTGTTGCTTCGTCTTTGACATTCCGGCTAATTCACATTGTATAGCAGCAGGACTGAAGCATGCGCACTGGTCATTCGGCAGCTAGCAGAAAAGGCATTCGAGCACTGAGCAGTAAGATTGAGTTGTATCACGATGGTTCGTTGCGTCATTCGGAGAGTACATCAGGCAGGGCGCTCAGTTTCGATTTGGTAGCGGAGCTGGCTGGTCGAGCCAGTTCCCGCTGCCTGTCGATGCGAGCGTTCTGCCTGCTGTGCTCCCTCTTTGTTCTGACTTGCTATGTGGTTGGGCTGGACCAACAGCCTGCAAAGGCAATCAGTGCAGAGGAGATGGGAGCCACAGCAGGCGATGAAGGACAGATGTCATTTGCAACGACAACGACGGTTGATACGACATCTGTCACAGCGCTCACCTCGCAGGCAGCAACGCCCAATGTGCTAGAGTCTGCGCCTTCCGCCGTTTCATACAGCTCAGAGGCTTACTTCAATAATTGGACTTGGGCTGAGGTGAAAGGAGTTCTTTCTGAGGTTGCACAGTTTGCACAGCGGACTGATGAGGGCCGTGGATTGCGAGCAACTTCAACTTCGGAACATTGGTGTACTTCTGACTTTTGTGAAGCTGTGTGGCAGTTATTTCCTTCGGAACAAGAGCTTCGCAAAGTCATGAGTGCAGCTTACCTTTTACTGGATGTCGCAAATGAAAAGCATTGGTTTGCGCCTTTGACACAGATGCGCGGCCTTGGATTCGGTACAAGTTCTCTTGGACGACGACTCAAGGATGAGAAACCTGTACTTCGAAGCCTAGGAGGCCGCTTTCTGCCGGGACTACAGATCCTCGGCACTTTCTGTGCAGCTACTGTTTTTCTGATTGCGATGATGCCTGGTTCGCGTGAGTACCGGGACAGTGGCCCTCCTCGTCAACACGCCCACGTAGGCGATGCAGGGCCACCTTATGTTGGCACAGCTACGCTTAAGGTGCCACCGGCTTGGAGTAGCGAGAGACAATCAACATACTCACTCAGGAGTTGGATTAGTGATCTGATTCTGTGGTCTTCTGCAACAGATCTTGATCATAGGCCGTTAGGTCCGATAGCAGCGCTCCAAGTCACTGGCAGTGCGAAGGAATTGGTCCGGGAGCTTACCCCCGATCAGTTATCGAATGGAATAGTTGACCCCCAAACCGGACAGCACATAACGGGGCTTATGCTACTGGTTCGTACTTTAGCGGCGCGGTATGCTCCCTTGGATCAAGAAGCCAGCACACGCTCTGTGAGCGAGTTTTTAAACTTTGCGAAGCTGCCCGGGGAAGGGATTGATGCTCTTCTTGTTCGGTACGATGTACTTCGGAACAGGGCAGCTCTAAGGGGTGGTCTTCAGATGAATGCTTCAGGAATGGCCTGGCTTTTGATGAGGGCTCTTTCGCTTCCTGCGGAGTTGGTTGACAGGCTTCTGGCCCCTTTAGGTGGTAGATTGCCTCAACAAGAGGATGAACTGCAGGAGCTTATGGGCCGCATCAGGCGGCAAGGACACCTTTATGAAGCGCGTCCGACTGGGCGACAGGGTGCCACGGGAGATCCGGGTTCATACTTTTACCCCGTTTTTGAGACCCCTAATCAAGGACATTCGGAACAAGCAGCCTATGGCACCTCGTATCCCAGCTTCGGAAGCAGTGACCGTCCTTTCGGAAGCAGTGCAGCTGACGTAGGTGCACAAGCCGGATTGCAGGTAATGATGGGAACTTACAACACAACAAGTAATCCTCTAGGTGACGGCTCTTCGCAGTGCATGCAGTGTGGCACTTACCATGAGGATGAGGACCTGAGCTCGGCCACGAGCACTGATGACGGTGAAATGGACGCAGAGGCACAGTCTTTTGCGGCAGTTACGGTAGATGGCGAGCACAGGTCCGATCAAGCTTCCATTGCAGCCGAGCTTTACCACTTGTATCGTCAGGCGAAGCGCCGATGGCGTAGGTTTACCGGGCGTCCCCCACGTAGGTTCCGTAAGTTTGGGTTTAAGCCTAAGAACTTTGGAAAGTTAGGTAAGACCCCGTATGGTAAGACCTACGCTGCGTTTCTTCCCGCGTCGAGCTTCGCAGGAGGAAAGGGCAAAGGCGGTTCCAAGGGTGCAGGTGGTAGGAAAGGTAATCCTAGAGGGCGTAATGGTGAGGTCCTTAGATGCCACAAATGCAACAGTGATCAGCACCTTTGGCGCCAGTGTCCTATGGTTACTCAGGGTGGTTCGCATTTCAGTCAGCCTCAGCAGCCCCCGTCTTTGGCATTGCACACCGTACCATCGCCAGCATTGCCCATGTGGAACACAGCCCGCAGTACCGCTGCGACTGAGGTGCGTTCGCTTCCCGGTGTTACCTTCTCTGCGCATTTCATGTCGGCCTCCAGCCAGAGTCTCGAGCATGAGCTCGAAGCACTTTCGCAAGCATCGGCATTGAGTAGTCGCAGATCGATTGGACGATCAAGCAGCCGAGCACCTGTTGAGGACTCTGTGCAAGGCCCTCCTGAGTGGGAGCCGGGAGAGGCACCAACATCGAGTAGAGTTACGAGCCAGGTGCACCCAGAGGATAGTGCCAGCCAGGTGTCTCCCGCGGAAACGCCCCAGGTTCAGTCGTTGATCCCCGGAGCTCCGTCTCCGAAGTTTCCTCCACCGAGTTCCCGAGCTCCTCAGGGTGAGCGTTCCGATCAGGAGCGCCGCAAGACGACGTTGCAGCTGCAGACCATGTTGTACCCATGGTGGGAGACCGGGAGTACTGATGTTGGAACCGGTGATGGACCCGGGCAGACGGCAGGTGTTTATCATGAGCGCACGCGTGTGAAAGGGAAGGTGGGCTTGCTTGTGGACCCAGGAGCACATGACAATTTGGTAGGCGATCGAACTATGAAGCTGTTGTCATCACAGGTCAAATGCAAGCCTGCTGTCAGAACCCTGGAGCGTCCGCTCAGCGTGCAAGGAGTCGGCAATGGATCGCAACAGGCGGATCTCAGTCACGGTGTTGAGTTCAGCATTCGTGCTCAGGGTAAATCTAACATTGATGGCACTTTCAATTCGCCGGTTGTGCCCGACAGTGACTTGCCGCCGTTGCTTGGTTTGAAATCCTTGCGCAGTTGTAACGCATTGCTGGACATGCAGCATCAGAAGTTGTACATTCCCGGCCCCGGTGGGCTGGAGATAGTGCAAAGCCCGGGCACATTGGTGTTGGACTTGGAGCTCAGTCCGAGTGGTCATTTGATTCTTCCGGTTCACCCGCGAGCCAAAGCATCAGAATCCCGCAAGCTGGACTTCATTTCGTCGCGTGTGAATGTTCGGGATCCGAGCTCCAATCGCAATGCTAAGCAGGGTCCCGATCGAGCTGCCAGTGCCAGCTCGAGTAAGGCCGTTGACCAGAATGTTGGAATGAGTGGAGACCTGTGACTAGCCTCGAGGGGCGAGTCAACTCCAGTGCATGCAGCAGCCGGAAAGCCGAGTGCATGGGTGATGTGTGATCAGGTTGGTGTTAGGCAGAACATTTTATCTTCATTGGGTTTGCATAGCATACATTTCAGTCGTGATCTTCATTCTAAAGACCAACTTCGAAGGATTCTCAACATGCTTGAAGTGCATTCGCCCCGGATGTTGTGGATCCGGCTTGGAGGTCCCGCAGCAGGTACAGGCAATCGCCACGACAACCAACGAGCCCTTCATCTGTCTCAGATCGCATTAAGACAAATAGATAAGGGTGGTTTAGTGGTTTTAGAGGCAAATGCTCGTAGCATGGTTTGGTCCCTAAGGTTCGTGCAAGAGCTTGTCGAACGATTGCAAGCGTATGACCACGCTTGGTGTTGGCATGAGCGCCGTATGGATGTGCGAAACCAAGCTTGTGACACTGTAATCAGAATTGCCACTAACGTAAACCTGCCCGGACCCTACAACTGCGAATGCCCTTCAGGAACGTTGCACATTCATTCGAAGCAGCTCTCCCAAAGCGAGCGTCACGTCCGGAATGAACGAGTGCTTAGGTCGATTGTACAGGTGGCTTTGTCGAGTGCAAGGTCGCATGGAGCAAGCTTTCCACTTGTTCCTGACCGCACGCACGGGCGACCCGAGTCAAGAGAACAAGAGATGCCATCACCATTTGTATCCCAGAACGACAGCAAAACCCCTTGCACAAATGTCGGCGTGAATTCAAAGTCCTTGAGCCCTTTTGCAGGATCCCTTACAATGCACTACGATCACCGTGACGGTGGACTTACAGCTGAGAAGGCTGGGTCATTGGATCAGGTTCAGCACAGAGAACGTGATCCCCACGCATCCGTTGAGCATCATGCTTGTGTCACATCAAAAGGCCCCGAAGTCGATGCGCTCCTCGCTGAGTTGAGCGCAGCACCGAATGTAGATTCTTTCATGGTTCGCAGGGCTGCTATGATTCAGATGGTTGAAGATTATTCTAGACGGGCTAGGTTAGATTCGGACTACTCTTTTAAGACTTGTCTTCGAATTCTATACCTACTTCCGTCAGCCGGTCATGCCACTCATCGGCAACCGGTGGATAGCAGCAGAGGCGGATCATGCAGTGTGCTTGGTCTGTACAAGCACGGAGCTGAAGTTGGGATTACTCAACTGTCCTTGGAAATACCCGAAACCTGTCGCTTTCTGAACGGCTTTGCAACTGAGCACAAGGCCATTTGCGGCTGGACATCCATTTCTGTGAATCACAATGTTGCCCTACAGCCTCACTGGGACTTCGGAAACCTTCGGGGAACCATTAACAATTTGATAGGCCTAGGCAATTATAGTGGTGGACAGTTGTGGGTGCAGTTGCTAGATAGCGAAGTAGACAGCGCGAAACACGTGGAATGGATGATTTCCGATCGCAATGAAAAGATGCCTGGCAAGGTTTTGTCGTGCAAACACCGATGTATTCAATTTGAGCCGGAACGTGTACACAGTACTATGCCTTGGAGTGGTGAT